TTATTATTATTGTTAAATACATAGGTTCCTTATCTACAGGTTCATGCTCAAGTTCAAGTTTGAAATCCTCACGTACTAGATTATTGACGTACCGAGAAACGACGCAGAAAGATCTTTTTTGTCTTTAATTCTTAATCCATCTTTTTGGTTCTTGTTGCGTGTTGTTACAATTCCATGCAGTGCCGATGCGAAAATGTTGTCAGTGAATGGTTTTATGTTCCCTTGATATGAACTCCTTTCGGAGTTCTGCCTTTTGTCTGCATTTTTCTTTCTTTCTTAGCCGTCTCATTCTTTTCATTCCCTTTCTTTCAATTTTCCGGCAATTTGTACACGTCTTGGATACCAGTATTGCGTCTTCTGAGAGAGAATAATTTTCATCTTGAAGCTCACCTAAAATACTTTCACCAGTTGATAAGTCTATATTCTCAATGAATACTAATCGGTGTGAGCCATACGAGTCAAAATTGGAAAACCACAGCTCAAGGGCATCGACAGAGCGAGCAATATTTCGTGCTCTATCAAGCATCACTGGTGTTTGGTCGAGTATCTCAATCGTGAGGCTTTGTTTCAGGATATCCTGTGCTTGTAATAAACTTGCTACAGATTCGTCCAATAAAGAGCTCATTCTTTTCTCATGATCCTCAATTTCAGAGATTTTGTAAGCCTCTTTGCATAGCTCATCTACTTCAGAGCACAAATCCATTGCGTTTTCTTGAATTATTTCCGTAACCCTTTTGGCATGCGTTGATATTTCGGTCTTTAAGCGATTAGCCTCTTCGTCTGCTTTCTTCGATGCATCATGTAGCGAATCTTGAGCTTCCACAAGCATTTGTTTATATTTAAGGATATTTTCTTCGAACTTCTCAATCATGCTTTTCAAAGCTTTTTTCTCTTTTCTTCCTGGAATGCCATCGATTAATCTTTGTATGAAGTGATGGGTTGGTAGCTTGTTAACACCGCCTCGAGGAAGGTTTGATTTACTCCGACATATCGGGCACTCAATGTACCTCCAGTAATGATTCGTGTTAACAATGTCTTCCAAGCATTTCCTACAGATATTGTGGAGGCATTTTGTTAAAGCTTTGGGCTCTTCGAATTCTTCGAAATAGACAGGACAACACAAGTCACTGTCATAAACCTGAATATTGTAAACAATTTGATTACTGTTTGAATTGATACCATTAATGGACGTGTCCGACATGATGTTGTTAGTGTTCGATCAGTGATTCCAGAAACCCATGCTAACAGGGAACCTAGCCTTTGCCTCCTACAGTCCTACGCTAAACGTTAACTAAAGTTGCGTGACGACGTGACGACCTTATTATACAGGGAACCCAAGGTAAATAATAGGCTCTTTGCAGCTCGCAGTAATCACGTGCTGATTAATTCACTGAGAGCAAATGAATGAACATCTTGATTACCAGGGGTGAAATATACTGGTGAGCAAACAAGCTTTATTACAACCGGTTTCGAGAGATCGTAATTAAACTGCGCATGCGTTTCGTATTCACAATGCGGATACACATCGTTTCATTCAGTTCTTTACAAGTAGCTAAAAAGAATGATTACCAATTAAGAAAATAATTACTCACCCGCAGACACGTGAACGTTAACTGCAAAGGGCCTATTGCCTGCCATCACCACCACACCACCATCACCATTACCACTAACACCTTCACTCGGCCACCACCACCACCACCATCACCTCCACTACCATGCACTACCATGCACTACCACCACCATCTCCTCCACAACCACCGCCCCCTCCACCATCACCACTGCCACCACTACTACTACCCCCATCCCCACCACCACTACCGCCACCACT